CCTGTCACTGCCTGTTAAGGAACATCACACTATGCTAGTGACAAACAGCTGGTCATAACCACTCTTGTAATCCCAGCACATAGGAGGCTGAGGCAGGAGCATCACTTTAAGTTATAAGTCATCCAGGGCTACACGGTAAGAGTTCCAGGATAGCCTGAACTACAGTCTGAGACCCAGTTTCAAAAGTTTTGTTTCAAATCTGATTATAACCACTACAGTACTTAACTACAAAACAATTTTAAATATCAAATATAGTCAGTGATTCTTATGTTTTTATGACGGATTATATATCATTCCCTATCTTCCTATTTTCTCATTCCTTGCAAGTTTAAATGACTGTCTCCTATCAGAAACTCCATCATTACGGGTATTTGGAAATTATTAGCATATTTTAGAGTCTACTGAAGATATGGAAATAAAACTTCATTATCACAAATTATATATTGTTCCATTTACATATTTCAAAAATGTCAAATTTATATTTAAGGAAAAAAGCAGTATAAAAAGCTACCTCCCAGAATCTGCATATAGAACACAGTGCATAAGTAAGTACAGTCGATCCCACTCCTGCCACACAGTGTACAAGTACAGTCGATCCCACTCCTGCCACACAGTGTGCAAGTACAGTCGATCCCACTCCTGCCACACAGTGTGCAAGTACAGTTGATCCCACCCACTCCTGCCACACAGTGTGCAAGTACAGTCAATCCCACTCCTGCCACACAGTGTACAAGTACAGTCGATCCCACTCCTGCCACACAGTGTGCAAGTACAGTCGATCCCACTCCTGCCACACAGTGTGCAAGTACAGTCGATCCCACTCCTGCCACACAGTGTACAAGTACAGTGGATCCCACTCCTGCCACACAGTGTGCAAGTACAGTCAATCCCACTCCTGCCACACAGTGTGCAAGTACAGTCGATCCCACTCCTGCCACACACTGTGCAAGTACAGTCGATCCCACCCACTCCTGCCACACAGTGTGCAAGTACAGTCGATCCCACTCCTGCCACACAGTGTGCAAGTACAGTGGATCCCACTCCTGCCACACAGTGTGCAAGTACAGTCGATCCCACTCCTGCCTGAGAATCTGTAAGTAGGCAGTGGTGTCTCTACAGTCACTGAGCACAGTTTCAGGATTTGCTCTGCACTTTAAAGAGACCATCATAAAGCTCTGAAGCACAAAGGAACAGTCAATGACACATCCATTTTAAGCAACAGTGACCTGTCATTAAAGAGTCATTAAGCACGATTTGCAAGGCTTAAAAGCAAGAAGCTTAATAACATTCACGTATATAAGATTATCTTCTGTACTTTGTAAGCTTGTGTTTGATTTCAGGTAAAACGTGGACTATTTAAAGCTCGACTTTTAAGCTCGACTTTAAGTTATAAATTCATTTATAATAACTTTTAGCCTTTTCCCTTGAAAATAAATCACATGAATTAAGTTTTAGAAAGCAATATGAAAAAGTAATATTCAAAGTCTGTATTTATATATACACAGATACATGCAGAATTTGAAAGCTAGTTTAGAATATGCTGAAAATCAGTTTTTTCCTTAAAAAAGTCAAAGCATATACTTACTTATCTTTACGATAAGGAATTTTTATAAATTATCATTTTTGAATACAAATATAAAATGGTCTCCATATTATGAACCCTTTTTTTTTTTAAACCTAGCTGTAAACTTGTGCTAAAGAATCAATTTCTAAGCCGGGCAGCGGTGGCGCACGCTTTTAATCCCAGCATTTGGGAGGCATAGGCAGGCGAATTTCTGAGTTCGAGGCCAGCCTGGTCTACAGAGTGAGTTCCAGGACAGCCAGAACTACACAGAGAAACCCTGTCTCGAAAAACCAAAAAAAAAAAAAAAAAAAAAAAAGATTCAATTTCTAAAGTATATGAAGTAAAATAGTGACCCCCCTGTTCAAATGCATAAAAACTCTCACTCTGCTCGGGTCCTTCATTGACATGACAACTACTTATCCTTGAAGCTGTCTCCTTGAAACTTCAGGGAAGATCCATACACACACATTTTAGAAGAGTGAGCACAGATCCACCACAGAATGTCAGCATAACCTGGCTCTGCACATGTCACTTATTGCTGCTTATCCATCCAAGCTTAAGGACAGGCCACAGAGGAATGCTACTCAGCTCTCCCAGGTCTCCCACACCACCTCTTTCTGGCAGGCTCGGTTTTCATTATTCTCTAGAATACTGAAAATTCCCAGAACAGCACAAAATAAAATTCAAAGAAACTTATCCTCTGGGTGGAATTTAGAAGTTGTTTTCCCCAGCTTGTCTAACTTACAGTTTGGAAGACTGACCTCCAAAGTTTTTCAAAAGGTCAAGCTAACACTGAAGCTGCTAGAACTTGACCATTCCAACTGTCAATACTAAAGATCATCCAAAGAGAAAGTTCTTCCCAGGACCCTGCAACTGGGAACAGGCAAGTGCCAGCACTGTCCCCACAAGAGCAAGGTTTTCTGAGCTCACACATCCCCTCTGGGAACTAGAGTGCTGTAGGGTCCCCAAAGTCAATGGGTACCTCCCACAACGCTTGAGAGTCAGAAGGCCAGGTCTATCTCCTCTATGTTCTCAAGTAAGCCAAGTATACCAGCTCACTCTTCTATCCCTCCTTTTCCTTTGATTTGATCAAGAACAGCAGAGGAACAGATGTCCATGAACATGGGTCACTCTCTTCCTGGAAGCTATCTTTCCTTGGGAAGCTTCTCAGCTGTCACCTGCAGAAGGTTAGGTGCTGGAGGTGTGTCCCTGTTGCTTCCTTCCATCCGGGGACAAAGGGAAACAGTGACTGATTACTTCCACCATTATAATAATTTCAGTCTTCATCATCAAAATGAGAAAGCATACCTAGTATGGGATGAGCTAGTATGTCAAAGTCTCTAAGAAGTTACAGCTGATCTTAGTGATGTAGCTAAAACTAAAGGAGTAGGGTCTTCTAATCCCAGTTACAAGAGGGAGCCATACACCCACATTCAGCACAGCATCTATCTGTGAATGCTAACACTCATGTCCTTGAAGAAGCTCAACGTACAATGGATTTCTAAGATGTACCCAATTCTGAATGAAGTGCTCTCACCATACAAATGATTGTTAGTTTTGAAGCAATTACTGGCTATCTCTTAATATCATAGGATTAAAGTCCACTAGTGTTAGGATGGCCTTAATTTATAGCTTTCTAATATTGCTCTGATTTTCCTAAGGTGATTTAGGCATGGTATTCAAAATTCTAATTCAAAATGAAAGAAAATGTCATCAAAATGGTTAGCTAGTAAAACAAGGTCTACTAGCTTCGTTCTAAATGAAGATATACACATCGGGCCTGTTACTTTTTGATTTCGGAAAAAAACAATCATGCAAGAGCACACTCATTCACAGGAATTAAAGTGGTACTGACATTAATGTCTACTCTCAGATCAGCTAAGCTTAATGTATAGTAGTCTAAAATGTGTTGAATAAGTCAAAAGAATCAAGAACCAGATATGATGGCGTGCATACACCTTTAATCTTGGTACTAGAGAGGCAGATCTCCATGAGTTCCAGTCCAGCTAGAGGAACATACTGATACTCTGTCTCACAAAAACAAGACAAAACCCCTTGCCTTCATTTATAATACCAGTACTATATCTAAAAAGAACACTCTCGTCGTGGAAACACAAGCTCATTTAAACTCAGAGTGAAAACAATGGCTGGGAAAACACTTGATGGGTTCCTTTTACTAAAGCCTTCGTTTTTTTTGGTTTTTTGGGGTTTTTTTGTTTGTTTGTTTGTTTTGTTTTTAGGTCAACTAGAAATGTATGGCTTGATTGTCAGACAAAACCCTTGGTCCAGATAACTAACTAATCCAGAAGGACCACATTTGGGAAGATACTCAAGCCTTCCATCTCACTCACTTCTGCTTCTCCTGCTGCTGTGCTCAAAAGGAACGGCACCTATAAATATACCTTGACATTTTACATAAAGCATCCTTCTACAGAAACTTAAAAAGCCATTCAAGTAATTATAATTTAATGAAAATATGTCGTGATCTTCAAAAATACCACTTGGTAAAAATAAATTAACTGGGCTCAATGTGCCTTTAAACTTGGAATCTGTGACCACTAATAAACTATTAAACTTGCTACCAAATCTTGTGCTTAAGTATTCTCTTTTAAGACTCAAGTCACTTAAAATGAGCCAAAAATGTTTATATAAGAAAAGCAAAGCTCTTTTACAAAGTTTTTAATTTGAAACAAAAGCAAACCAACTTATTTTCGCCTGGTAGCATGCACTCTTTCCCTATGTGATGCTGGCTTCCAGCAGTGTGCTTGTGTACAGTGTTACCAACTTTAAGGTGAATGGCAACCAGCTCTGAAGCCCATAGAACTGGTTTTCACAGATTAGTCAGCCATCTTTCCTCTCAAGCTCTCTTCAAAGGCTTACCCAAGCAGTTTTAGTAAGACACAATGTCTGGGATATTTTTAAAGACACTAATCCTGAATTACAAACAAGCTCCATCAAACGTATGCACTGTCCTGAGTTTACTGTGTTTCACTTTTCCTCTGACTCTGCCCCAGCTTTACATCAGTTTTGGTACTTATTAACAACTCAGGTTGTTATCTGTCATCTAAGCTGAACTCACTTCTGAAGGAGGAACAGTAACATAATACAGGTATTTTTTGTGTATACAAGAGTTTTCTTACCACAGATAATCAAAGACTTTACAATATCCCACTATAGAAACATACTGAAACATCAAACTAATGTCTCGAAAGATGACCTGGTTTGCAATCTGTGAATCCATGAACACCCAGGCAAATAACAAGATAATGAATGAAAAGGGATACCCTCGCCCTCAAAATCTCATAACCATATAAAGGGTACAATTAACACTGTATAATAAACTTTAAGAAAGGATTGTGTCTAGACTCACAAGTATCCAACTTCAGGATCATTACAACAGTTGAATTACCAAGGGAAGCGATCAAAACTCACTCACTTTATATAGTATCTTGCACCTTCAAACGTATATGCTTCTTCCCAGCCAGTGGGCAAATCTAAAAAATATACAATTAGTATACTTCAGTGAGATTGCAAAATAAGTTTAAACCCATCTTATCTGTCTTTACCATTAGCTATATTCATTTAAGCATGTGTGATCCAAAGTCGTGGCTGGCTAGATCATTAGTCAATCAATATAGCATTACTTGGAATTTGGAAAATGACAATTCAAATTGAAAGCCACCAGGAAAGTTCCAGCAATATTTGAGATGACCCAACATAATTACTCCCTTTAAAAGTAGTCAGGGTGGGAAAGGACTACACTCTGGTACCCCAAAAGGCAAAGTCTTCAACATCTGTGTAAAACACCCATCACTTATAGGCACAAACCCCAAGTAGGCAGCATTTTGCTTTTTTAGGTACATCTTGTCTATTCAAACCCTATTTTTCAATCCAAATCCATCTAGGTTTTCTTCTAGCATGAAAAGAACTCAGGTGCTCAATTAGTGGGAAACTGACTGAATACTCACACACGTCAGTACACTTGACCTTAGGAGACGTGAAGTTTCAAGTGAGCTACCTACCATCTTTCCGTGCCACATGCTACTTATGATGAAGAGGTTTGCATTGAATCACTACATCTTCAAAATGAAAATGCATCCATGTGTGCACAAAACCAGAGCCCAAGCAAAGTAAACCAAGAAGAATAAATAGATAAATGTGAAATCACATCATAGAATAAAATATGTCTGGCATGTGACTGCTATTTAATCCGTGACGGTGATTCGAAGATATTCGTGTCATGCATAACCAAAATAAACCTGAAATAATGCCATAAAACATTTGAGTTAAATTCTTTTAATCATATATTGTCTTCCATGAATAAACGTGTCCATATCTACAAAAGTAAGGAGGCTATTAAAGTTGCAAACATGTATATAAAACAGGCTGAAGCTAAAGACTGCACAGGGAGTTAGGAAACATGACGGTTTATTAGTCAGAAATGCCCTAAAAATGTAACCTCATCACGCTTGCTACAGCAGCCTTCCCTTTCCTCCTCCACATTTTTGCAAATTTGGACACATTATTAGTCACTTCACTGAACTCCAGCGTTTAACAGAACAGGCAGGTTTGTTCACCCTCCTGGCAACTTTAATAGGAGATTCTCAGAACCTCGGAGTTGGAGAGAAAAGTACCCAGAGGGACGACTGAACCGGGCCTCACCTTCAACCCAACTTGTTCTCAAGCCTTTGCAGTCACCCGGAATAGAGGCGGGCCAGTAGGAGAACTCTCGTTACGTTTCAGGCAAACAAGTTGGGTGAATGTAAACAAAGAATGACAAAAGAAAGCCAGACCAACACTGAAACCACCACAAGCCCTCCTCCAGCTCAACTCAAGCTAGGCATTCAAGAAAGCTATCAAAGCAACCGAGATGCGTTTCCTCGCGGAACTGGGGCCCCAGTGCCCCCCACGCGGGACCGCCCTGGCTCGCCCACCGCCTGCTGGTGGTGGTACGTGGAGCTTGGCTGCTGTTACCGGGGACTTCTGAGTCGGGATCATTGGCTGCGGCGTCCGCTCCAGCGTCCCAACTCCAGCTGCTCCTCCGGTAGCAGGACGGGACTCACCGGCGTTGGATCACATGGGGAGGGGGGCACCGCAGCACCCCTAACTCTTCCATCAGTCACCTACCCACAGTCCCACTTAGGAGAAGTAGGTGGAGGAGGAGGAGGAGGAAGCTGCTTGGCAGAAGGCAGTTCTCTGGGGAGCAGGGCGAGGATGCGGGACCTTCTCACCGCGGGGGTGCTGGGATACCGGGAGCAAAGGGGAACCGGTGAGGACTTCCTAAAGGGTGCTGGAGGCTGAGACGGGGGCGATTCGGGATAGAGGGGCGTCGCCCATCCTCGGGGGGCGTCGGGGCAGGAATGGGGACCTGGGCGCAGGAAGAGGGCGCCGTCTCCCAAGTGCTGATGAAAAGGCGAAGAAGAAAGGCGCCCCGGGACTCAGTCGCACGGAGCCCGGAGCACCTCTAACCCCGCCAGGTGGCCCCGAGCCGCAGCCCCGGCCCGCCCTACCTACCTGTGCTCTGCCGCCGGTGCCCGGTGACCACGGCCTCGCCGGTGACCGGGTGCAGCCAGGTGGTGCTCTTGGCCTCCTCGCTGCAGGGAAGAGAAGGGACGGGGGCTGAGCGGGCGCGAGGGACGACCCACGGGGGCCCCGGCCCGCTCGCTCCCGCCGCCCCCCAAGCCGCCCCGCGGCGCCTCCCCCGCCTGCTCACTTGATGAAGAAAACGCGGCCGCCCCTAGTGATCCCGTACGTCCAGGAGCGCGGCAGCGAGCAGATCCACTCCAGGTTCAGGTCGGCCGCCATGTCTGCTCCCCGGCCGCCGCCGCCGCCGCCTTGTGCTGCCGCCGCCGCTGCTGAGGAAGG